AACACACTTTGATGAGTCAGCTGAGTCCAAATCACATGTGTAACTTCCTGTCTCAGCATCAGCACTGAGGCCTTAGACTCTGGCTCCCAGCCAGAGTCTATTTGAAAGAAAGACAATTCAGGTGTAATGTCAGCAACACTCACCAGTTTAATGGATAAGACACAATTGAATGGTGACCACAGAGAGCGAGGCAAAGTACCTCATTTACCAAGGTGAGCTGGTGTGGTGACAGAACGAAGAGCTGCACTAAGTAAACCCATAGTAGTAAAGTGCAAACCATCACCAAGTGGTTTCTGATCAACCATCGGCCCATTAAAGACTTCCACAGAAGATGGTCTGTGAACTGAGATGTCCTTTGTGATGGCGGAACAGAGCAGCTTCTGGGTCGAGTGAGGAAGACGCCCACTCACACAGATGGTACGAGCAAATCGCTGCCCTCTCGGGAGCACCACCTCCACCAACACATGGATCTGTAACTGGGCCACAGGACAAATGACAGCCTGTACTTTACCTCAGCTGCACAAGTCACAGAACAACTGTGGGTCGTCTGCATGTGTCTGTAACAAGATCAGGTCACATCAGTCCCACCAGTCAGTGACATTATTAACCATTTAAGGCAAATCTGAGCATCAAAAAAAGCCATGACTTTAGAATATTTACCATGTTTTCACCCCCACACACACTCCCAGTGACCCCCATTTTCTCCATCTCCTCCTCTTCTTTCCCTTAACCTGCCATTATTCCCCCTTCCTCTCATCCACTCTATGTCATTCAGTCACACACTGGCTTATTAATGTCCCCGTGCTCTAGTTCTCCATTCTCTGAGGGACCGAGGGCCGCCAGCTAGAAACCCAGAAACCTGCCTGGGTGCTACTGTTCAACTCTGCATGCTTATTTTGTTTCTCTCTTTAGACCGATTTATATAATATTATCCTACAACTGTAGGAATAACAGTATATAAAACAGCTACAGCCTACAGGTATTTCTAACAACATCTTTTGATTGATCATTTAATATTAAAATTTGAGAAAATTATGAAATAAAAACTATCACAATTTCCCAGAGCTCCAAGGAGACGTCTTCAAACTGCAAAATTCATCCCATCTAAAGCCTGAAATATTTAATTTATAGCCACAAAAAGTGAAAAGCAACAAATCCTTACACTTTAGAAGCAGAGAAAGTTTGGCTTTTCTGTTTAAATAAATGACCTGAATGACTGATTTTCTGTCAGTCAGCTAACGGAAGTTAGTCCTGTAACCTACGTATTTTACTGAGGTTACATGAACTCAGATCAGTCCTGTTTTATGCACAAACACCTCGGAACATGCAATCTGTTTTTGCTGTGTAATAAGCAGGAGTCTCCGTGTCTGGTTTTAGTCTTGATTCGACCCGTCGGGTGTATTGCTCAGTCATGATGGTCTCTCCATCTCCTGACAGATGCTGCTGCTCTACATGAAACCAGCTTCACACTTCATTCACACTTCAGGCTGTGAAAAGGTCAA